CCCCCACCGATCCCGAGTGTCGAGTGTCTTTCTGAGTCGGCAAAACCCCGCGTGTGAGCCAGACTGTTTGAAAAAGCCACCAGTTTGTAAGGCTGACTCCTTGTGCAAGACCCTGAGTGTGAGGATGGCTGTGTGAGAGGGAAAAGCCGAGAGTGTGAGACCTGAGTGTGAGAGAGAGAAAAATTGGGTGTGTAGGGGTGACCAAGCATGTGGCACCCCATGTGTGAGGGAGGCAGTGAAGGCGATTGTGAGTGTAAGCAACGGTGTGTGAAGACTGAAAGGCACTTGGGTCTGTGACTGTTGAGGCTGGTGAGCTTACTCCAAGGACAAGACTGCTGGTGAGAGACCCTGAGAGGGAGAAGGGCTGAGAGTGCAAGGTGGCAGGTGTGAATGTGGGTGTGAAGCTTCTTGGGACTGCTGGTTTGGATGGGTGTTGGGGCTTAGAGTGCCGGGACATTGGAGCTCAGGAACTGGGTGGTCTTGTAGCTCTTTTGAGTGTCTTCATAGTTTGTCATTTCCCGTCAAAAAGTGTCAGATGTTTGTGGAACATTCTGAAAAGTATACTGAGCACTAAGCCAAAAGTCTGATCTCCATGTTGTGTAACGGGCAGTATAAATAGAAATCAACATTTAACAGACGTCTTGGAGAACTTCTGAACACTGGTCTGTGTGCTTGGTGAGGGATGAAAAGAATTCATTGTCTCTGCCTTTGGTGTTGGGGAACCCCCCCCAGCTTTGACCTGCTAGTCTAGCAGAGCTGTAGCAGAATGCTCAGCAGGCTAGTGCCTTATTTCTGAGAACTGCTCCCTGATTTGAAGATCTGGCAGGAGCAGACATAAAGTCTGCCACTGCTTCCTGAGGTCATTTTTACCTCTTTGCCTAGTGAGGCCCTTCAGGAAGCTACCACAGGCTTCCGACGTAGTGTGGGTCCACTGTGGTTTTATACTGGTTGCTTTTTTTTTGCCCTACTTTGGTCTCAGATTTGAGTTGTTTGATTTTCCTTTCCTTGCAAATAGGTGGAAAATCACAATCCTGCTGGGGATAAAGCCCTGTGGTACAGCTGGGTATGGTGTGGCAGGCCTTTAATCCCAGCATAGGAGGCAGAGGCAGGCTGATCTCTGTGAGTTTGAAGCCAGCCTGGTCTACATAACAAGTTTCAGGCCAGCTGGGACTCAAGGGAGACCCTGTCTCAAAAAGACCCAAAAAAAAAAAAAAAAAAAAATAGCTCTGTGGTACCATACTTGCCCACTATGGGCAAAGCCCTGGGTTTCACCCTGGAGCCTCAACAAGAGAGAAAAAGAAAGAGACAAACAGAAAGAAAGTCACAAGCCTGATTTTCTCCTTCCTGCCTTCCTTATCTTTACCTCTTTTTATTTGGCTGTGGATAATTTGTTTTGCAGATTGAAAGGATATACTAATTATTTAAGTCTTAGAGTATCTTGGTAGAATAACTTTTCTGATCTCTTTGCGTTCTGCTGTAGTCTTTAATTTTTTTCAAAAGTTACACAAATAATGCTCATGTAACCTCGGACTCCCTAGCAAAATAACTGTCTAGACTTACATGAATTGAGACGACCAGGCTAGTTTTCTGACACATTTGGGCTGTTTCTGTGTGGTAGAGTTCAGTAATTGGGGGCTGCCTTTAAAGGGTATGTAAAATGTAGATTTTACAGGAGGAAATAGCCTAATGATTATTAGGTTAATTGTTTGATAAGTTATCTCTTTTTCTTTGTTACAGAGATTAAATGACTCAAACAGAGAAGTGGAATTAGCCCTTGATTTATTTTCTTCTCGGTACCTGACCCATGGTGAAACAGCTTATAAAAGTGTGATTTTTCACTTACTTTGTGACAGGTGAATATTGATTGTTGCTCTGTTCTTTATAGCTTTCTTTGGTCTTTGATCTATAAAAATGAATCTTTAGTTATTCGCATAGTTTGTGAATATGAAACTAGTAAATTGAGTGTCATAAAATTTGGGGGCCTTCTGGAGTGCCTGTGCAAGAGGCTTGGGAGGTGAGATCGGTGGCCAGAGTTAAGACTCTGGGGGCTCGTATCTCTCACAAGTCCACTTTATTAGAAGTTCAACAAGTTTTTATATAGAAAAGGAACTCGCAGTTACTTATGGCTTTGTATTTGCGTACAAAGGATCAGAACATAATTAGATGAAAAAAGAACAGTAACTTTTAGCTGGTGTAAGCTAAGGCCTTTACAAAGCAGGATGTTTAGACCTTATTTAGGGTTATTGTGTGTATCTGATGATGTATTGATCAAGATGTTTAGTTTCTCAGGACTTGGAAGTTAAGATGCCTCTCCTAGAATAAGGAACACAGTCAGCCCTTTTGATCTGGCCAACTTCCTCTCCTAATCATGCAGTGTTCCACATGTTGGTCCTGAGGTTCCATAGGTCCTGCGGTTCCACATGTCAGCCCTGAGACTGCGTTCAGGGTCTCACCCATAAGTAGAGCTTGTGGTTTGGTCTCCCAGTCTCAGGTTCTACTCTACTTGCAGGCCATCCTAATCTTCAACAGTAAAAATCGTTAACTCTTGGGGTAAGGATGGCTCAGCAAGTTACAGTGCTTAATGTTGAGTCTGATGACCTGAGTTTGATCCCCAAGACCCACAGGATGGAATGAGTGAACTTACTCCCACAAGTTGTCCTTTGACCTTGGTACATGCATCCACATACATGCACACACACATACAAAATATATAAATGTAAGGTAAAAAAAAACCATTAACTTATTACATGTTATGAAAGACTGTAATTTATTATGTAAATTATGTATTTATATGTGGTTTTTTTGAGACATGTAGCCCAGGCTGTCATCAAACTCTGAGCTAAAGATGACCATCCTCCCAAGTACTGAGATTACAGGTCTGAGCTACCATGCCCAGCTCTATTTTGTATGTTTTTTAAAAGAGTAATTCTGGTGGCTTATGTAATATAAATATTTAAGATATTTATAATGAAGTTGTTAAAAAGAAATAGGTAGCTGGGCATGGTGGCTATTCCTAATACTTGGGAGACTGAGGTAGGAGGTTAAGGAAGCTCTAGCCTAAACTATATAGTGAGTTAGTTCCATGTCAGCCTGAGTTGCAAGGCAGACTCTTTTTCAAGAAAACCAAACGAAACCAAAGCCATGGGAAAGACTATGTAGCAGATACTGTTGAAGTAAAGATATCTCCATTGTGATTGGGAGCTAAATTGAATCTTGAGTTTACTGGTATTCTAGATAAAATACAAGCATAAATGTATTTGTAACCTTTGTAATTGTTTTTTGATATTTATTTTTTCTAAAAATTGCATATTATAGTTTCCTCTTTAAATTTTCATTAGGAACTTTTAGGGGTTTGGAGGCTTGGTAAACTCCTTTACTATCTGTGGGAGCCTGGAAAATAGGAGGAAAACCTGTTAGAAAACTGCATTGTATTTTTTTGCTTTTGGTGGGGGTCAGGGTTGGGTGTTGAACTTGCTGAGGTCTCATGCCTGAAACCTACTAAATAAGCACTCTTCTACAGAGTCACACTCCCAGCCCCTGTGATGGGTCTTTATAAACATGGTGTAATACTGCTTTTTCAAGATAGACCCTTTTTAAGTTACACTGAGTGATTTCATGGAAATTGTTTTTAACAGTGATTTAAGAGATTTCAGGGTGTTGGGAAGCGCCTGAGACTGATAACTATGTATGATTCTCTTATACTGGTTTATTTTAATTACTGCTAAAAATACTGAAGGCAGTTAACCCAGGAGGGTGATTTGGTAGAATTTTGATGACCCTCTTCTAAAACCAAGTTACCTAGATATGAGGTATTGGCTTAATGATGGGCCCTTAAACAGCAATTTTCATCCCACTGTTGCAGAGGGTCTGCAGCTCTATCTACTCTGTGGGGACGGGATAGACAATGCCTCTGACACAGGTATGGACTCCCTTTTTTAGGCATATGTAGTACTATTATAACTATCAATGCAAATGAATAAAAGGCATAACTGTAGTCATAGTAACTTTTGTCATTATTATTATTATTATTATTATTATTATCTTTGAGACATGGTCTCCCTGTAGCTCCAGCTGGCCTGGAACTCACTATGTAGACCAGGCTGGCCTTGGTTTCACAGAAATCCACCTGTTTCAGCCTCTGGAGTGCTGGGATTAAAGGTGTGCCCCACCATGCCTAGCTTGTCATTATTTTTCTTCCTTTATCAGCTTTTATCTGAAAAACAAGAACACTGACAGTTATATATAGTGAGTTAGTTCCATGTCAGCCTGAGTTGATTTATATATTGGTGTTCTTGGACAGCTTGACTTCTGGTTCAGAGATACTCTCTCAAAAGGAAAAAAAATAACAAACCACCCCCCCCATTCATATTGTGTATGTATATAGTTATTTTGAGACTGGGTCTCACTGTGTAGCACTGATTGGCCTCAAATTCACAGAGATTCGCCTGCCTCTACCTCTCAAGTGGCTGAGTTTAAAGGCATGTGCCACCACACTCAGCTATGTTTTTATATTTAAAGTGAGTTTCCTATAGACTGCATATTGGGATTTGCTTTGTTATCCAGCCTAATAGTGTCAGCAATACCTTTTACTTGGTGTATTTAGATCATTTACATTTAATATAATTACATAATTGGATAAAATCTGCCTTTTTAGCTAGACTTGGTGATACACACCTAGAGTTCAGCACTTGGAATGCAGAGGCAGGAGGATCACTGCACTGCAAGTTTGAGTCCAGTCCGCTATACAGATATGAGTCATCACACCCAACTCTCTGCTGTGGCTTATTATTTATACCTCTTAATTTTTAAATTGTTGGTCTAATTTTATAGTGTAAATCTTTTATCCCCCCACCCCCCCAATCAAACCTAGGGCCATAATTATACATGCTTTGTGTTTTTGGTTTTTGGGGGTTTTTTTGGGGTCTTTTTGAGACAGGATTTCCCTGTAGCCCCAGCTGACCTGGAACTCACTATGTAGACCAGGCTGGCCTCGAACTCGTAGAGATCCACCAACCTCTGCCTCCTGAGTGCTGGGATTACTATGCCCTGCAGTCAACTTGTTTTTTGAGACAGGGTGTCTCTTGGTTACACAGGAAGAAGCACTGAGCTATCTCCCAAGTCCTTTTCTGTTTTTTGTTGTTGTTATTGTTCTTATTGTTGTTTCTTTGCTTTTTTATTTTCCTCCCTCCCTCCCTCCCTCCCTCCCTCAAGGCTATTTCTCCCTCCTTTCATGAGATTTTACTGTTATACAGACTGGTCTTGAACTCTTGGGCTTAAGTGATCCTCCTGCTTCAGGCTTCTCAGAAGCCAGGACTACAGGCGTGGGCCACTGCGTCTGGCTCCCTGTCATAGTTATTTTTAAATTGTCTGTTTCTAATATCTGGATCATCTCTAAGTCTGGTCATGTTGATTACCTTGCCTCTTAATAGAGTGTTGCTTTTCTTGCCCTGTTTCTTTGCTTATAATTTGTTAGTGGTTACCTTAGTATGTAGAACAGTAGAAAATTGAGGTATATAATATTTATTCTGGTAAATGGGTATGCTTTTTCTTTTGCAGGGTTGCTGATACAAGAGTTTAGTCATTTATAAGGAGCTGAATCATGTTTAGGTTTTGTTGTTGGTATGGTTGCCTTAGGTAACCTTGCCTTCAAATTCTTCTGGCATTGCCTTATGCTTACGGTTGGATGGCTTTGCTGGATGGAAGACTTTTTCTCAGACTATTTTCTACCTCAACTTTAGCCTTTCTTAGTACACAGTCTACTACACTCTGAGTTACGGTATACTGCTGTTGCTTTTTCCTGGGTGCTTGCCAAACTCCTGGGTAGGGAGCAGGGAGGCTCTCTGTTGTGCTCCTCAGCCTCAATCTCAGGGGATGTTTCCTTTAGTCTTAGAGGGGTGGATCTTTCTGGGTTATTCTGTCTTGGTGAAGGTAGGACTTCTTACTGGTTTTGACTAGAATTTCCTGTCCCTTGTTCAGGCACAAAGGCTTTTTGTTGTTGTTAATTTCTTTCTTATGGTTTTTGAGACTGTATAAATTATCTCTTAGCCGGGCTTGGTGGCACATGCCTTTAGTCCCAGCTCTCGGGAGGCAGAGACAGATCTCTGTGAGTTTGAGGCCAGCCTAGACTACATAGTGAGTTCCAGGCTAGCTGGAACTATTGGGAGACCCTGTCTCAAAAAGACAAAATAAACACAACAACAAGAAAACCAAACAAGTTATCTCTTAATCTTTCAAGAATCTGGCCCAACTTTATCATCATTCCCTGAACCTCTTTTTTTTTTTTTTTTTTTTGTTGAGACGGGGTCTCAATATGTAGCCCTGACTGGCCTAGAACTCCCTATGTAGACCAGGCTGGCCTCAGCCTCACAGATATATCTACCTGCCTCTGCTTCTCGAGTACTGGGATTAAGGGTGTGAGCCACCATACTCCTCCTTTTATAGTTTTTTAAAATTACATTTATTTATGCGTGTATATCTGAAGGGTAGAAGATAACTTGATGGCAGTCAGTTGTCTACCATGTGGATTTTGGGCATCAAACTTAGGCCATCAGGCTTGGTGGCAAATGCCTTTACCTGTTGAGCCATCTTGCTGGCCCAAGCCTTCACATTTTGTTGAAGAGTTTCATATTGTCTAGTTTAACACACACAGAAGGTCAGTGAGGTTGTTGGGAAGAGTAGCTGAAGGTCAGAGAAGGGTGAGTGAATTCTGGTCTCTGATTATGACCTTTCTGATCTCATGTCCTCATTTCTACCTGATTGTACTGGGAGGACATGATCCATGCTCATAACAATTTTATTCATTGAGATGTCTCCAGTATAGAACAAAGCATACTATAGATGCTTGGCAGATTTTCCTAGGGACATGTGAAGTGAGGTTTAGATTTAGAGGAAAGGACAAGAATGGCCTTTGAGTTTTATGGCCAAATCAGCCTGGGATTTAGTCATCAGCCCTTAGGGAGCTTTCTATAGTTACTTTACAATTTTGCTCTTCGGTATAAAAAAATAGGGACTTTAATTATTTTTGCTAAGGACAGGCTTCTAGTGACAATTACATTTTGTTACTGAATAAAGAAAAAAAGCCTCAACTCTTCTCCCTTGGATGTGACTCTGCTTTTCTCCTTGACACAGGACCTAAACTCCATCAGGACCCTTGTCTCTTATTTTGGTGCTGGAACCAAGAGTCTGAGTAAATAAGGCCACTTCAATAGTTTATCTAGTCTATCAAACACACTTAAAAAGTCACATTAGACATGGTAGTGTCAGATTGCATAGGTACAAAAGGAATACCTGATAGCTAGAGGAAGCTGGAGTGAAGCTGGAATGGTCACTAGGATCAGGCTTTACCCCCTGTCTCTGTTGAGTTAGGTAGAAAAGGCACCCTGCAGGTCTCCTTGCACTTCTCTTCCATGAGAATATGAGAAGGGACTCCCAGCTGTTTACTGGATTTGTTCCCATGGAAGCTTGGCCTCACCTGACAGACATGTGAAAACAAATATGCTCCCACATGCCTGCATAGGGAAACATGCATAGCTTGGTGCCAGGAGTGAAAGAAAAGCGCTTTCTAAAAGCTTAGCCTCATTAAAGCAGAGGTAGGCTAGCCCTACTTTTCTGGGACTTCGAAAGACTGCTTATGCCCCAGAGAAGCTTTTTCGCTTGAGTTCAGGTCCATATAGACTCTTGGACTGCAATTGGGACAGGTAAGACAGGACTTTGGGGTGCGGTCTGTGGAGATCAGAGTTTTCCATGAGCACGTTTTACTCTCAGAAGACTGTGATTCCGTTACTCTGAGCCCTATGAAGCCAGGATCTGATTTCATATATATATATAAATTTTATATTTTTTTCTCTTTTTAAAAGGGTCTCACTGTGTAGTCCAGGCTGACTTTGAACCCTGTGATCCCTTTGCCTTAGCCTCCCTAAGTGCTGGAATTACAGATATGTGCTACTCTGCCCAGCTTTGTATCTTTGCTGAGTAGAGACTTCTGGAAAGATGGAGTACTGATCTCAGTCTTATCTTTGGAAGTTATCCATGTAGTCTTTAAGGATTAACTTCTGGGTGATAATTATATGGCCTACCACATTCCTTTCTCAGGGTGAGAGGAGTGAGGTGAGCTCAGGGGTCTGACTCTTGACCCATATAGAATTTGAGGAAAGGGAGAAGTGTCAGTCTAGGCACAATGTCAAGACATTGCTTATCTTCTTTTAACAGAGCTTTCTTAGGTAGGTTAGTGTATAATCTACCTTCCATGGGGTTGGTTTAACTCTGATCCAAAGGTTGTGTGTGTGTGTGTGTCTGTGTCTCAGTATATCTGCACACACTCCTTGAGAACTATTTTGGGAGATTCTCTGTACAGCCCCAGATAGTAGTGAGGAGCATGCTGATAATCTTGTATTCTGTTTCTTTTGGATACTTGGGGAAGAATCAGCAAGCAGTAATGTGGGGGCTAAGGTGGGTGTTGTGAACATAGTGATGCTTGGGTATGTGTTTTCATGAAGCCCCCTTGGTCCAGTCTCTGTAATAATGATATGCTTTTTAAAAAATATTTTATTATTTTTAGTTTATATGTGTATTGCCTGCATGTATGGAAGTGTACCTGTGTTGTGCAATGCCCGTGGAGGTCAGAAGAGGGCGTCAGATCCCCTAGAGCTGGAGTTACAGACAGCTGTTAGCTGCCATGTGGGTGCTGGGATCCTACTGAGCCATCTCTCCAGCCCCAGCTTTTAAAAAAACAAACAAACAAAAAACCAAGGCTTTATTCTGTAGGCCTGGAACCTCAGGGTCTTCCTATAGCCCCAGCTGGCCTGGCACTCACTAGGTAGATCAAGCTGGCCTGGAACTCACAGAGATCCACCTGCTCCTGCCTCCTGAGTGCAGGGACCAAAGGCGTGTGCCACGACGCCCAGCATGGATCCTAGGATCTTCTTGCCTTAACTTATGAATGCTCAGAATACATGTGTATTCCACCATACACCTGGCTGTAAAGTGATATACTCTTATCTTAGCATCTTCTTAACCCTTCTTTCCACTTCTCGTGACCTTTGCCTATATGAGCTGAACCCTGTAGAAGACCCTCTCTATGTAGAGCTGAGTGGACAGGATTGCCTGGTATGGACAGTGAAAAAAAAAGGTCTCTTAGGCCCATGAGGGCTATGCATTTGCTGCACGGAGTCTGGTTTTCTCTAAAGGGGCAGGTTTGTGGGTTTTAAGCTTTTAAGAACAGAGCAAAACGAGGGAGAATCTGCTGTGGACAAACACAGTCCTGCCCTACCCTGCCCTATAAAAAGGGATCTCTTGTAAATTGCCCTAAGGTTAGGCCTGAGCTCTCATGTTGTCTTTCTCAGGAGCAATGGAAGTTTGCCTACCTCCATTTCCCTGTGTCCTGTGGTGAGAACTGAGACAGGCCTATTGTGTGGTATTTGTGGCATGCTCTCCCTTGGCAGGTGGTAGGTAGGGAAATCTGCCCTACTGGCAGGCCTAACTAACTAAGCTTTATCAGCTCCTGCCTGCCCTAGACTTGACATACTTGTTTTCTTTGCCAGGCCACAGTACACACAGGTGTACAGGAATCATTTACCATGGAAGCCAGGGAGCTTGGGAGTCCCACGCCCACCTACCACCTTCTCCCTGAGGCCAGCCAGCACAGGGTAAAAGAAGATGCCAGCTTACCACCTGGAGGGTCTCCAGAAACTATGCAGCTGAAGAAGGAGATCTCCCTGCTGAATGGAGTCAGCTTGGTGGTGGGCAACATGATCGGCTCAGGGATCTTTGTCTCACCCAAGGGAGTGCTAGCCCATACTGCTTCCTATGGATTGTCACTACTGGTGTGGGCCATTGGTGGGCTTTTCTCTGTTGTGGGTGCCCTTTGCTATGCAGAACTGGGGACCACCATCACCAAGTCAGGGGCCAGCTATGCTTATATTCTAGAGGCCTTTGGGGGCTTCATTGCCTTCATCCGTCTGTGGGCCTCACTGCTAATTGTTGAGCCCACCAGTCAGGCCATCATTGCCATCACCTTCGCCAACTACATCATCCAGCCTTCCTTCCCCACTTGTAATCCCCCATATGCTGCCTGCCGACTCCTTGCTGCTGCTTGCATATGTAAGTATGGGGGTGGGGTGGGCGTCCTATGTGAGGGTGTAGCGTGCCCTATTGTATGAGTATCTGATATTTGAATATTATACTTTGTTCTTTTGAGAGGCATGAGGCACCATACCTTTTGAAAAAATAATATTACCACTTATTTGGTCCTGAGAGGTACGTAAGTATAAAAGGTGGAGATGGGAAAGTTTGAATCGTTCAAACTTGGGGCCTCAGGTTCCTCTTACTCTTGGCTGTCCCATATTCTGCTCCCTACTGAGACAGGTTGGTGCATGTCTTATGTTTGTCTTACCAAGTGATTCAGGGGGCCAGGTGTTTTGAATGGTGTCAATTCAACATCACCATTTGTAACTTGACTAAGAAAAGAAGTCGGAGCCCTCAGCTTTTCATTAGAAACTAGTTTAAAGGCACTAGTGAGGAAATAGTTTTCTCTAGATGATGGGGGTCTCAAGGCCTACAGGACATTGTCCTTCCTGTCACTGTCACTCTGTGGCCTTTTCTAAGCAATAAGCACTAACACCCAAATGGGTTTTTCCTATGGTAGATTTGTAAACAAGCTTTGCCTGCTGCCACTGAGGGGATGCTAGCTTCCACTCTGTATTTACGCTTTTGATAACAAAGCATGAGAGACCCCAGGGGATTCCCTATTTATTTATTTTCTCTTATGGAGTAGACAAAAAGATATTCTTTGTGAAATCCCTGAAAGGAGAAAAAATTGCTATGAATTTACCCAGCGAGCAGAGCTAGTTCTTTAGCTAGCCCAGATTTTCTTGTCTTTTTTATCACTGCACTGCCAGAGGTACTTAATTATATTCTGTCTTTTCTTTATCTCTGCTTGTAAAAACTTTGGCTGCATACATAGTTTATCCACAGTGTTAAAAATAGACCAAGGGTACCTTGGAATTAGCAAAAATGAATCGTACTATGCCTCCTGACTTCAGGGGCTTTGTTAGGGGTAAACAATACAGGTAATCCCTCCGTATTTTTGAGACCTGGGGAAACACATACCCCTGGAAGGAGGAAGGATGGTGAAGTCAGCTATATGTCTTTTCTTTTTCAGTTGTGTGTCTCATAGGCTTTGACCATACAGCTTCTGGCCTTGTTGAGATAGTTTTTTTTTTTTTTTTTGGTCTTTTTGAGACAGGGTCTCCCTGTAGCCCCAGCTGTCCTGGAACTCACTATGTAGACCAGGCTGGCCTTGAACTCACAGAGATCTGCCTGCCTCTGCCTCCTGAGTGCTAGGATTAAAGGTGTGCGCCACCATGCCTGGCTAAAGACAATAGTCTTATAAGCCAAGCATGGTAGCCCACTCCTATAGTGTTAGTACTTAGGAGACTGAGGCAAGAGGGTTGCCACAAATTTGAGGCTACCCTGGGCTACATATTGAGTAACAGACCAGCCATGGCTACATAGTGAGACCCTGTCTCAAAAAATAGAAGGAAAGCAAGCAAGCAAGCAAGCAAGCAAGCAAGCTAGCTAGGTATGATTGTATGCTATTAATCCCAGCACTTGGGAGGTAGAGACAAATGGTTCTCTTAAGTTCCAGGCCAGCCTGGGCTGCAGAGTAAGAAATAAGTAAATAAATCAATACTAGCTGGGCATGGTGGTGTATGCCTTTAATCCCAGCACTCAGGAGGCAGAGGCAGGTGGATCTCTGTGAGTTCAAGGCCAGCCTGGTCTACTTAGTGAGTTCCAGGACAGCTGGGGCTACAGGGAGACACTGTCTCAAAAAGTACAACAACAAAAAAATCAATACTAAGCAGGCCTAACAAATCCATCCCATGGGCCACCAGCCTTTCCCCATAGTTGGTTGTGTGGAGACTTCCTGGGTCTTTCATTCTGGAGTGAAATTTTGTCTAGCCTGGCATGTCTGTAACTTCTTTATGCAATCTTCCAACCAACAAGGTGGACTCCTTTTGTGTTTCAATTTCAAAACATCATTCTCCTGTCCTATGCAAGCTTCAAACCTTCATGATTTATGTCTCTTGAGATCGTGTTGCTTCCAATGCCATTCCTACCCTTCTAGTATATCCTAGCTCTGTTTAAAGCCTGGGTCAATGACCTCTAAGTTCCAAGAAGGGAAATAAATGGAATCCTAAAGCCTAGTCAGTCAGAATGCAACATGGTTTTATATCTTAATCTTCTGACAAGTTCCTGCCCTCAGACCTGAACTCTGGAAATGTCTGAGTTCCAGTCCTGAGAAATCTGGGTCTAAGATCAAGGGGTTGCAACTGGTTAAGAGCCTTGTCAATAGAATTCCCAAGGTATCACAGGATTTCATACCACAGGAGACAGGGAGCACATTCATGTGGCTCTGGTCTCTTCCTATTTTTTAAAAGTATTTATAACTTTGCAAAGTAATGGGTTTCATTATGGTATTTGTAAATGTATATAATGAATTTTATCATATTGCCTCTATGTTCTCTCTGTTCTCATTCCCTAACACATTTTTAAAAATAATTTTGAATGAATTATCAGCATTTGAAAAATCAGAGTTTATATGGGTGTAGTGCCAAATACCTATAAATGTCGACATTTAGAAGGCTGAGAAAGGAAGATTTCTTGAGTTCAGGGCCATTCTGGGTTATATAGTATCAGGCCAGCCTCAGGCTGCATAGCAAGACCATGTCTTAAAAAAAACAAAACAAAAAAATGCAATAGAAGCAAAGAAAAATTAGAATGTCCATTTTCTCTTGAACCCAAATTCCTGCCTCAGGCAGTCAGCTGATTTTGAACAGCTGTTGCTAACCTTTAAGTGGAATATATGCTCCCTAGTCTACTGTAGTCTTTGGCATCCACTTATTTTATACCCAGACTTTCTTGTCTTTCTCATTTTATTACTTTTTAAAGAACGATTGATTTATTTATATTTTATATGTGTGAGTGTTTTGCTTTCATGTATGTAAATGTGCCATGTGCCCACAGAGGCTAGAAGAGGGTGTTAGATCTCCTAGAACTGGAGTTACAGATGGATGTTAGCTGCCATGTGGGTGCTGAGAACTGAACCCAGGTCAGGAAGAGCAACCAGTGCTCTTAACTGCTGAGGCATCTCCCCAGCCCCTATTTTTAGTTTTAATGGAAGAGCAGTAAGCACTCTTAAGTGCTGAGCCAGCTTCCTAGCCCCCATATTTGTATTACTTTCTTGACCCTTGAAGGCATTGCTGCTTTAGTCCCTGTCTTTACATCTGTACTCTACCCCATTCCCCAGTTACATTAGCAGGGAAATCCAAGTAATACTGGGGGTAATTCAGATTGTCCTAGAGCAGTAGTTCTCAGTAGGAGGTGAGTTTGGGTTGCATGGGGCATGTGGCATGGCATGGAGACATTTTGAGGGTATCTGATGGCTAGAGGCCAGAAGTACTGCTGAACATCCTGCTAAACAGGGGCTATAGATTTATCTGACCCAAAATGTCAGTTGTGCTGCAGATGGGAAGCTGTCTTGAAGATGTGCCTTGTGATCTTGGAATTTTCAGTGCTGGGTGGGCCTTAGGCTGCTTAGGGGCTCTTAAATACTTATGGAACTGTAGTAGAAAAATGATTTCTTTTCCTTTTTGTTTGTGGTACTGAGATTACAGTTGTAGACCCCTACAACTGGCAAAATAATCGTTCTTTTTTTTCATTTTCTTAAAGAAAATTAAGAAAACATTGGTGGGGTTTTTGTTGTTGTTGTTTTGGGGTTTTTTTGTTTGTTTTGAGACAGGGGATCTGTAGTTACAGCTGGCCTGGAACTCATATATATGTAGACCAGCCTAGTCCCAATTGCACAGAGATCCACCTGCCTCTGCCTCCCCAGTGCTGAAATTAAAGGTGTTTGCCATCATGCCCAACTTTGTTTTGAAATTTTTAATTGCATTGATTTATTTATGTATATTTGTACACATGTGCATGCCGTGGCACGTGTATGAAGGTCAAGGGACAACTTTCAGGGGTAGGTTCTCTCATCTTCTACCATGAGAGTCCCAGGGACTGAAACTTAGGTCCTCAGTCTTGGCAGCAAGCATCTTTACCTGCTGAGCCATCTTGCTGGCCCAATCTTGAACTCCTAATCCTCCAGCCTTTACCTCCAAGCTCTAGGATTACATGCAAGTATAGCCACCACATCTAACTTTGATCTTTGTTGTTATTGTGTGTGATTGTGCTCCCCCTGACCATGAGTACTCCCCAGAAACATCTAGTGTGTGTGAGGTTTTGGAAGGTTCCCACTGCTCCACTTGTGGGAATAGGGAGCTGTGACTCAGCATAGAGGGGGCTTGCAGCTGTAGATTGCCTTGCTGCCTCCTTGTCAAGGGAAGAATGTGTGAGAGAGGCTCTGCTCCATCGGGAAGTACATTTGTTATTCAGAACTGATTTGGGTTTAAACATACAACAGAAAATCCAAAGCAGCATGGCTGAAACATTGTTGGTTATATCTCCCACGTGTTAAGGGTGGTCTGGGAGGTAACTGTATGGAGCAGGTTCCTATCTTCTCTCTGACTACTCTGCTGTCCTCAGCCTCTGGTTTCTTGCTATGGCCCAGGATGACTCTCATGCTCTGGCTGTTATCTGTGTTGTAGCTGACAGGAAGGACAAAGAGCAAGGTACACCTTTGCCTTAAGAGGCACTTCCTGCAGTCTTATATGAAACATCTGCTCACATTCTTAGGGAAAAAATTGTTTGCTGATCTACCTATGGGAAAGGCTGGAAAATGCCTGTTTGGGACAGCCCTGACCAGCTGAAATTTCTGGAGAATTTAAGGAGAAGGGAAAACAGATACGGATGGTGACCAGCAGTCTCTGCCACAGAGGGACTTTGACGATTTGTTTCTGTCTTGGTGTTCATCCCAGATCTACAGTCAGATCTCAGCAACAAGCTCCCAGAAGGGCTGGGGCTATGACCCAGTGGTAGAGCAACTGCATAACATGTATAGCTGGGTTCAATCCCCAGAGCCACCAAAACAGACTAAAAGTAGGCATTCATCCTTGGAGACCTCAGTGTAGGTCCCATTCGCATTGATGTTGGGATTGTCTAATCAGAAGAAAGAAGGCTTGGAGGTTTGAGTTGTGGCAGTGGAATCTGAGCACCTGGCCTCCAGACTCAAGTCTAGAGAGTTGGATGGGCCTAGAGTATCTGGGAGGCATAAAGGGGTGTGGGTCGGATGGTGAAATTTTGTTTACTAGTTAGAAGCAGGAAATAATCAAGGGACTTGACTTCTACTGGAGCCTGTGTTCTTTGCAGGACTTAGCATGAGGCTAGCTGCCTAGGGCCAGCCTGTAAGAATGTACACTTTCAGATTCCTGCTCTTGATTCCCTGATAAGGAATACTCCTTAAATTTTGTGCCCTAGGCACCTGACTTCATCCTCCTGGTTCTGTTCTCTGGCTATATGTTGTGGCTTATTAGCTACTTTCATTGAGAAATACACCTAGGTGCAACATGAATAAGTCAAAATGTAAAAAGATACACCATAGAAGTAGGATTCCTTCCTCTCCAGCTTTCTTTAGTCTTCCTCTTGGTCATTGTTATCGACCAGGTGCTATTATACCCATCTAGCTGGCCTTTGGAATGGAGCCTGCAGGGACGTCCATGAACAGCGCATTAACTCATTAGTGAGTCTAGTAAATCGTTGTTTTCCCACTATGTGTTGTTATTTACTTGTGTGCAGAGAGGACCAAGGCTGCAGGAAAATTGCAGAAGAATGGAGAGAAGGCACAGAACTGAGACAGTGCCTGACATGTGGCTGAGTGGGGTATCACTCTCTTCTCCAACTTGGGGCTCCAAACTCAGTGAGCTTGGCTAGGACATTGTGATTCTTTCTCCTGTGGTATCTAATTTTTGGTCTCTCTTCTTTATCCCTCTTTCGGTCTCTGCCTTGTCTTTGTCTTGTCTCTGTTTCTATTTTCTTTCTGTGTTTGTATTTGTATTTCTGTCATCTTTTTCTCACAAGTTCATACCCTGCTTCTTTCTGTAGTCCTACTTTCTTCCTCTGCTTTTGGTTTTTGTTCTGCTGTTACTCAGGGCTTATATGTTTTTTGACTTACTGTGGTTCTTGACTCAGGGTAGCTAGCTTACTGCTTTTAGATAGATACACTTAGTATCATGACTCCATGTTCCTGGAAGATATGATCTCCTAAGCCTTGCTTGGGTACAATGTCAGGCTTGATCAGCTCTGATAGGTGAAGGAATGCAAATCCTAGGAAGGGGCTGGACAAGTACCTAAAAATGTTTACTATATTGCACTGGCGCCTGTGCCTGTTTAACTATAGATGAGAGCTGATCCAGGCTTAACCACAGGGAGGACTTTGTTCAGCAGGGTAGGTCTATGGGAAGACTCTCAGTACACATTTCTTTAGGCTTTTTCTCTTCCACTTGACTACTGTGTCACCAACCCCATATGATTGATTCATTGGGTGTCCCCAACCTCACATGATTGACTGGTGAGTACCTGTGGTATTTGCCAGCATATTAAGTGAAGCTCTTAAAAAACACCATATGCTCTGTCACATGTGGTCATTTTCACAGCTGGCCCTAGGTGCTATTCTTTGAGTAAAGGAAAGCCCACCTTTCAGACAAATGGCTTACCCCAGGGAATTGGCCATTGAATGAAAACCATCACTACCTGATTCCAACTGGGGTTCATCAGTCCCCCCTCTGCTGAGCAGTGAGCCTAAGAACACACTGTGCTGTTGCCCTCTTGAGAATTTGTGGTCTTGGGCAAACAAGACTCAGATACCTGAGGGAGAGATCTCCTGGAATCAGATGTCCTCAGGACTATAGTATTAGACACAAAGCTATGCTGTGAAGTGAAATGTGAAGAGAACTCAGGGAGAGACTTCCCTGTACATCTGAGAGATTTTCAGAGGGAGTGAGGGAGGGCTGAGCTAGACTTTGGAAGTGGATGTCAGTGGCTGTGGCAAGAGGAGGGGAGGACATGTGGATAAATAAGGAAGGTAGTAGAGTCTGACTAAAGCAGAAAGTGGGTAGGAGTATGTGCAGGTGGCCTGAAAGATGGGCCAGAGAGGTTTGTGGTTACTCTTTGAATCCCCCCCCCTTTTTTTTTTGACTAAGAGCAGTACTTAGACACATCACTATGTTCTTGCTATAGAAGCTTGAATATTGCTTTCATGTTCTACCTATAGATCAAAGCAGTCGTTATTTAGCAGGGACAGAGTTTTCTGTATGGTTTAAGCCTGGATCAGCTAACATAGTAGTTAACTGCCATCAGTGGCCTAAAACATATGTCACTGAGGTTCATGAGAAGTTTAAAGTCAACAGGTCTGACACGAGCCTCTCAGGCAGGCTTATTTCTCCATGGGCTTCCCTGAGACTTAGCAGGTTTACATGAGAATGGGGATGGGGAGATCATTTGGATTTGGGAATATGAGCTTGGGAATGATAGCCTCTCTCAGCCTCAGTTTCCTCACAGAAATACCTACATTTGGGGGTTTGGGAGGATTGATTGCAGGGATGTCTGTGAAATTGTCAAGAATATAATATACTTTTCCCTTTTTTTTGGTCTTTTTGTGACAGAGTCTCTCTGTACTGTTCCCAGCTGGCCTGAACTTGCTATGTAGACCAGGCTGGACTCTTAAGTGCTGGGACTAAAGGCGTGCACCACCACGCCCAACTAAGAATATAATAGACTTTTAAAAAAATACATTGTCTCTAATCGTAGGTGATCTATCATCTGCATTCAAATTTACCTCATTTATTAATGGGTCCTCTCTTGTTCCTACTATCTAATGTGACCATAGACAGGTCTTATGCCTCTTGTACTTTGGCACCTTGGAAGTCTGGTTGGGGAAGAGTGGGTGAGGTAGGGCCAAGCATTCTTGGTGCCGGGGAACATTTCCAAAAATGGTTTGGGTCCCCCGTTTAACTGTTCAGGTTCTCACTGAGCTGTTATTCCCTCTAACTTAGGTAATAAAGGCAGGAGAAATGCTTTCTGTAGAGAGGTTAGGGCCCTGTTCCCTCAGCTCAGTTCTGCCAGTGACATTATGGTTTTCCTTCTAGGTCTGCTGACATTTGTGAACTGTGCCTATGTCAAGTGGGGCACACGAATACAAGACATATTCACTTACGCCAAGGTCCTGGCACTCATTGCCATCATTGTCATGGGCCTTGTTAAACTGTGCCAGGGTAAGAAGGGCCTGAGGTGGGAAGAAGGGTGGATGTCTCCAGGAGTCTCTCTGGCTCCTTGCAGAGGATGTGGGGACTCTGCTAGCTTTATCACTTAGCATATTCTGTGTGCATGCTAGAGCATACTGTTGTGTGCAAGAGATGGTCATGAGTCTCTTTCTGAGCTTTGTTGGCCAACTGGACATGTCACGTTCTCTTCAGGGAGCATTTCAGGAAACCAGCCAAGGGCCTAGGTCGGAGCTCTTGAAACTTGGAGTATAATTTGATCAGAGTCTTCTCAGAAGATTGAGTAGCTCATGGTTTTGTCTGTAACTGCCAGGCAGTGAATAGGAAAACTTGGCCCTCCTAGAGCGGGATAATAGGGTGTGTATATGTGCTGGGGAAGTGAGGTGTTGGAGGGGTGGTGAGGAGGGCAGGCTGTATAAATATGTGGTCATTTTGCAGCATTTATTGTTTATCTGGACTTGTTCTCAGCATTTCTCCCAAAGCCAGCTCTCAGCAAAATGTTAAAATATTGTGATATGGGTAATATCTTTCCTGCATTGGCCTTTTCTCTTTTTCTTGTGCTGGGGATGGAACCAGGGTCTCTTGCATGATAAGTGAATGAACACTCTGCCACTCAGTTACATTCCCTAGTCCTTGGTGTTTTGAGGTATGGTCTTTTGTTTGTGTGTGGGAGGTGTTATTTTATTTTTATAATATCTGTATGGGTGTATTGCCTGCATATGTGTAAGTGTACCTGTGTTGTGTAATGCCCACAGAGGTCAGAAGAGGGTGTTGGATTTCCCTGGAACTGGAGTTACAGATGGTTGTTAGCTGCCATATGGGTACTGGGAATGGAACCCTGGTCCTCTGTAAGAGCAGCCAGTGCTACTGAGTGATCTCTGCAGCCCCTGTTTGTTTTTCAGACTATGTAGTTCTGACTGGCTTGAGATTTACTATGTAGACCAGACTGGTCTCAAACTCAAGAGATTCATATGCCCTTTGCCTCCCTAATGCTGAGATTAAAGGCATGAGCCATCATGTTTTGAGATGGGGTCTTGAAATGTATTTTGAGGGGCTTGTAATTCACCATCTGGTCCAGAGTGAGTGGCCTTGAACTTTTGATCCTTCTGCCACAGACTTTCAAGTGCTGGGGATTACAGGCATGTACCACCATGCAACGAAAGCTTTTCATTCCTAGATCAGAGCAGACTAAGGCTAACAGTCTTCCCAGGATGTCCTAAAGGATCTTTACCTAAGGATATCTCCATCATTTAACAGTTCTGTTCCCTGTGTCATCAGTCCCTAAACATAGCTATGTTTACCATCACCTTGGGGACCTGAGCCCTTTATCTTAAACCTATTGGTTTAAAGTCTAAAAAAGCTGTGTACTTTTTTGTGTGGTGCTGAGAATCAAACTGAAGGCTGTATTACATGCTTTACCCAGCCTGAAGTGCCCTAGGTAATTCTTAAGCATCTAGCCCAGAACCTTTGTGTACTCTTGCCAAGTAAGTACAGCTAGCCATCTAGATGTCTCTGGAGGAACAACCTGGAGTCAAGTTGGGTTACTGAGTAATCCTCCCTCCATGTATGCAGTGACTGCTGCCCCTGGAGGATAGGGATTTCCATTTCTCTTCACTTGTAGCACACATGCCCCTTTTGCCATATTGAGATTTGGGTCTAGGCTTTTTTCTTAATTTTTAAAAAATTTTTATGTGCATGCCTGTGTGTGCCCTGTGTGGGTACCTAAGGAAGCCAGAAGAGGGTGTTGGGGTCCACTGGAGCTGGAGTTACAGGTTATAAGCCACCTGACATACAAGGGACCCAAGCTCTGGTCCCCTGGAGTTAAGAATCACAGGCAGTTAGTTGGAATCCTCTCAAAGTGATCGCTGAACCATCTCTCCACCTTCTGAGTCTAGACTTTCTTCAGGGGGGCAATGACAAGCTCCCTTAGAAGGCTGAGTCTGGGTTAAAAAACAAAAAACAGAAACTCTCCTGTCAGATGTCTGTTCTTAGCAGCTAGGTGTCTATCCCCTGGTCTTTTAGGCCTGCAGTCTTTTCTAGACCTCTATAGAGAGAATGATGGTTACCTTGGCCTGGATTGGCTCTCTGAAGGGTGGTGTTGGCTCAGTGAGAGATAAGAAGACCTCAGTTCCTGTATAGCCCCTGATTTCCTGACCCAAGCAATCATACCACACTACACCTCCTGCAAATAGAGTCCTTTCTTGGAGGCTGATAAACCCACATAACTAAATTGTGCAGTGGCCTGAGCACAGACCTACTGGAAGGTGTGATTGTTAGTGAAATGACTGTTTTGTATGAAATGACAAGTGTTATAAAAATAGGAAGAAGTAATATGGCCTGTTGTGAGATCCCTTGCAGGAAGTAGAAATTCCTTAGGGTCTTGGTAGAAGTGTTGTCACCTCTGAGTGAAGGCAGGAATGCCTTTGTTTTTATGAGATTATCTAGTTTTACCAAAGAATGTAAACTTAACCTGAGGCAGTGGGCAGGGTGGTCTAGGGCTGGGAGTTTTTGGTTGTTGTTATTTTGGTATTAAATGTTTTTTTCTTCTTCTCCCTACCCTGTTTTTCCTTTACTTTTCTTTATTTTCCCTTTCTTTTATTCTTCTGTATCCTTCCCCTTCTCCATTTACCTTCCATTTCCCTTCCTTCTCCTTTATTGCTTCTCCCTGAACTCCCACCTGCCTCTGCCCCACAGGACAATCTGAGCACTTTCAGGATGCTTTTAAGAATTCCTCCTGGAACGCGGGAAGCCTCTCTCTTGCCCTCTACTCTGCCCTCTTCTCTTACTCAGGTTGGGACACCCTTAATTTTGTAACAGAAGAAATCAAAAATCCAGAAAGGTAAAGGCAAGATCACACTCTCCAACTTGGCTGGAACTCCTGCTGATGGTGGGCACACTCTTCCCATACCTCCTTCTGCTTCTCATCCCCTCTTCCTCTCCCTGCTACCCTTTCTCCAGTTAGGAGGGTGTGGGGCTAGGATTAGAGTGAGTATGGGGAAGCCCTTGGCTCTCACCCATGTCTTCACATTCTAGAACACCCAGGGTCCTTGGTAGAGGAGAGGTCTTTAGTGGGTAGCAGCAGACCCAGCTAAGGCTGAGGTGACAGGACCTTGCCCTGTTATGCATTATGCTGAGACTGCAGCCTGAGGTGCTGAAACTGACTCGGGGCCTACCAGGTCCCCAGCCTAGCCTCTAGTCCCCAGAGGTTAACCACTCCTTGCATTTATAAGGCCCTGCACGACTCATTCTGCCTAATGTGGTGATGATAAACTATTAATCATGAGCTATCTTCTCAGACAAAGTGTTCTTAGTGGAAAGAGCCCCAGGAGCATGGGATGCATACCCACTCTAGGGCACACAGGGAAGAAGATCCCATCTCAAAGACCTGGTGATCAGTGAACTATATTAAATGTTAGGAAAATCCCAGTGGGTATTTGATGAACCTTCATTCCTAGGGAAGGTTGGTTCTAGGAAGTCCTATCTCTCTTGTCCCGACAGAAATTTGCCCTTGGCCATTGGTATTTCTATGCCAATTGTGACACTTATCTACATCCTGACTAATGTGGCCTATTACACAGTGCTAAGCATTCAGGATGTCCTTACCAGTGATGCTGTGGCTGTGGTGAGTTTCTTGGGCTCCTCATTTGCTTGTGATCCTCATATCATGGGTATCTCATGATGGTTGTCTCCCCTGAATCACCCATTTTTTTTCTGTAGCCACTCTAGCTGTGCAGTGTGAGGGACAGGTCTACCTAGGACAAGGGGTGGGCAGCTTAGCAGTCACTGCCTTTGTTCTGCGATGTAGATTCAGGAGGTTTATGAAACCTTGTCTTCTGTTGAATGTCCCTTCTATGCTCTGCTTCCAGACATTTGCTGACCAGACATTTGGCATGTTCAGCTGGACCATCCCCGTTGCTGTTGCCCTTTCCTGCTTTGGGGGCCTCAATGCATCTATCTTTGCTTCATCAAGGTACTTTGGCTTTACTATTGATAGTAGACTGCAACATTTTATTTATTTTCTGTCTCTGAGATAAGGTCTTGCTATATTAACCCAGCGTGGTATGAAACTCATATATTGCTTAGGATGGCTTAAAAATCATGATCCTAGCCAGGCGTGGTGGTGCATGCCTTTAATCCCAGCACTTGGGAGGCAGAGGCAGGCAGATCTCTGTGAGTTCAAGGCCAGCCTGGTCTACATAGTGAATTCCAGGACAGCTGGGGCTCCAGGGAGACCCTGTCTCAAAAAGAAAAAAAAAAAAAAAAAATTATGATCCTCTTGTCTCAGTTTCCTGAGAAGATTATAAGCATGTGCCACTATGTCTGCTCTAACACAGTCACTTGTTTATTTACTTAATTTATTTATTTATGTAGATCAGGCTGCCTGGCCTCATGAATGTTGGGATTAAAGGCTTGGCCATTACACTCAAGAGATTTTGGCGATTTTTAATTGTTTGCTTTTGAGACAGTCTCATGTGGTCCAAGGTGACCTGTAACTCACATGGTAACTGAGGCTGACCTTGAATTCTTATTTCCCTAGTGTTATTATAGGCATGCGCTAACATAATGGTTTTTTTTCCCCTTCTGAGAAAGGATCTTGGCTGACTTGGTTCTTAGTGTATGGCCAGGCTGGCCTTGAAATCATGGCAGTCCTTCTGCCTCAGTCTCCTGTGTATATGTCTATATAACATAATTGCTTTTAAGAAAATTAATTTTCATCAGGACAGAGAGCAAGTGCTATTTTTACACTCAGAGTTCAGAAGCCAGTGAACACTAAAAATGGTTTATAGCCTGACATTCAGGAAAAAAAAAATATATATATATATTTTTGGTCTTTTTGAGACAGGGTCTCCCTGTAGCCTCAGCTGTCCTGGAACTCACTATATAGACCAGGCTGGCCTTGAACTCACAGAGATCTGCCTGTCTCTGCCTCCCAAGTGCTGGGATTAAAGGCATGTGCCACCACGCCCGGCCTTGTTTTGTTTTTTTGAGACAGGGTCTCCCAGTAGATCCTTCGAGCCTGAAACTTGCTATGTAGACCAGGTTGACCTCGAACTCACAGAGATCTGCCTGCCTTTGCCTCCCAAGTGCTGGGACTAAAGGTGTGCAGCCACCATGCCTGGCTTTTTTTTTTGGTCTTTTTGAGACAGAGTCTCCCTGTAGCCCCAGCTGACCTGGAATTCACTATGTAGACCAGGTTGACTTTAATCTCACAGAGATCCACCTGCCTCTGCCTCCTAAGTGCTGGGATTAAAGGCATGTGCCACCATGCCTGACTAAGAAAAGTAATTTTTAAGTGTGTGTGTGTGTGTGTGTGTGTGTGTATGTATGTGTATGAATGCAGGTGTTCAAGGAGGCTAGAAGAGGGCATTGGATCCTCTGGAGCTGGATTTATAGGAAGTTGTGAGCCACCTGACATGGGTTCTGGGAACCAAACTCAGGTCCTTTGCAAGATCAGTATGAGCTCTTAACACCCATCTTTGCAGCCCCAGTATGATGACTTTATTTAAAAAATGTCTGTGTAATCCCAGCTGAGTCAGGAGGATTTCAAGTTTGAAGCCAGCCTGGGCTACATAGGAGACCCTGTCTTTTAAAAAAGGCCATTCTGGTAGCTGTACATTTATAGTTTGTCAAAATAGAGGTAGCCCTGGTGGGATGGATTTGAATACTACTAGGTGGTGGTAGGGTGCTCTACCATAACGTAGCCCATCTGTGGGATGTTGGTGAGGTATCTGTGGTTGAGAAGTGAGAGTGCTGGTAGGTGATGGTAAAAGTGGAGTGCTTGGAGTAGTCAGTGGATAATGGTGGATGAGACATTCCTGGGTAGTGGTGAGGCGCTAACAGTTGAAGGAAGGTAGTAACATCTCTGGGTATTATGAGTAATGGGCCAGGCACATGTGGAGACAAACAGGCTGTACCCTCTTTTTCCTGGGGCTCTGAAGCTAGTTTTTCTGAGGAGTGTGACTAAGTAAAGGGCTACTGCTGACACATTCATATCCTTACAGGTTGTTTTTTGTGGGATCTCGTGAGGGCCACCTCCCAGACCTGCTGTCCATGATCCACATTGAACGCTTTACACCTGTGCCGGCTTTATTGTTCAATGTAAGCTCTGCTGGGAGAGTGTGGGTTGGGGTGGGTCTGTACAGGATTCCTTCTAATTCTAATGCTTTTTTTGGAGGGGGTGTCTTTTTGAGACAGGGTCTTCCTGTAGGCCCAGCTTGCCTAGAACTCACTATGTAGACCAGGCTGGCCTCGAACTCACAGAGATCTACCTGCTTCTGCCTCCCAAGTGCTGGGATTGAAGGCATGCACCACCATGCCTGGCTCACTATGCTGTTTTTTATGTCAAGATTTGAAGCACAGTTCATTGCCCTTTTTCATAGTGCTGGGGGATAGAACCCAAGACCTCATGTATGTTAGATAGGCATTCTTCTACTGTCCTATACTCCTAGCATGCTATTTATTCTTTCTCCCCTGGCTTCTAGACAAGACCTTCTTATGTAGTCTAGGTTGGCCTTGAACTTGAGATCTTCCTGCCTTAGCCAACCTTGTGTCTTTAGAATGGGCTGTTTTTAAGTCTCATATTGATAATTTTTGGGGAAAAATCAAGTGGGAGAAATTATTTTTGAAGTTTAAGCAAATCTGACCTTGCCCTGACTCTAGCCTCTGACTCCTGTCCTAGTATTCTTTCATACAAGAAGGCAAGTATTGTTATCCCTCTCTCAGAGTGGGTATGGATCCATTTTGCTGATCTGCCTTTCAAAAGCCCCAGATCAATGTAATGGTTCTGGAGGTAGTGCTTCCATTTGTATGCCAGGTGGTTGGGATCCAGGTCTAAAGAGCTCTCAGGGGAACAGTGTGATTCACATTGAGGTTGGCGTGGTGAAAGCTGTCTGCCATCAGAAAGGGAGAGGAGTCTGTTTTATTACTGAAATGCTGGCAACAAGGGGATCACTGAGTATAGTTAGAGGCAAAGATGTTGCCTTGAAGGTTAAAGTGTATAATGGATCTATCTGGTGTCATCAAGGGTCACTGAAAAGTCAGGAGTCGTCTGGTGATGCTGCATCAGAACTGACAAGACTGCTGGGTGATGTAGTCTCCTGAGGTTGCTAGAGGTAACGATGCTCACTTCTCTCCATCATCTACTCCACAGTGCACCATGACACTCATCTACCTCATTGTGGAGAATGTTTTCCTGCTCATCAACTACTTCAGCTTCAGCTACTGGTTCTTTGTGGGCTTGTCTGTTGTTGGACAACTCTACCTTCGCTGGAAAGAGCCCGATTGGCCTCGGCCTCTCAAGGTCAGCAATGTTTTAAAATAATTTTATTATTTTTATTTTATTAGTATATTGCCTGCATGTATGTAAGTGCACCTGTGTTGTGCAATGTCCTCAGGGGTCAGAAGAAGGTGTCAGATTCCCCTGGAATGGGAGTTATGGATGGTTGTTAGCTGCCATGTGGGTGCTGGGGATTGAACCTGGGTCCTCTGCAAGAGCAGCCAGTGCTTTTAACCCCTGAGCCATCTCTCAAGTCCCCAACTTTATTTTATTTTTTTTAAAGATAAGGCCTCATGAAGCCCAGATTAGCTTCAAACTATGTAGCTAAGGATGGCTCAAGGTCTGCAACTCTGTGCATACTAGAAGGGGTGGATTCCCTTCCTAAACCTCTTGCCCAGGTTGTGTTCTTTCATCCCACCCTACATAATCTTGCTTCTGCTTCCCTCCATTTCAGTTGAGCCTGTTTTTTCCCATCGTGTTCTGCCTATGCTCCGTGTTTCTGGTGACTGTGCCCCTCTACAGTGACACCATCAATTCCCTTATTGGCATTGGGATTGCCCTCTCTGGGGTCCCTGTCTACTTCTTAGGTGTTTACCTGCCAGAGTCCCAGAGGCCACTCTTTATTCGGAATGTTCTGGGTGAGTGTCTCTTTAACTCATTTGCTCATTGGCTGTGTGTACATGCTCACAGGTTAATGCAGAGGCTAACAATTCCCTGTACTACTGATAAGATTTGTTGTTGTTTGAGACAGGGTTTTTTTTTTTTTTTTTTCTGTAGGGTGGGGAAAGCCGGTCCAGCCAGACTCCGATCTGGGGGGTGGGGCTCTGCTACCCCCAACACACAGGGTATTATGTAAACTAGACTGACCTTGAACCTACTATGTAGCCGAGGATGGCCCTGAATTCCTGATCCTACTACCTCTACCTCTCAAGTGCTGGGATACAGGCATTTACCACCATGCCTATCTTAAAGCACTACCTCTTGACAGTGCAGTTCACCTGGGAAGAAAAGAAGTCATGTCTCAGACTCTGGCTGGGTATGGAATAGAAAAGAATATTATAGTTAGGGGCCAGGCTTATTGTACCCAAAGAACAGGTGGGAAGGGAGTCACAGATAATGCTTTCAGTTTAATGATAACTCAGATTGGAACTGTAGCGAAATGTGTTTGCTAAATCCTGTGCTTCTTATTTTCATTTAGGTACTATCACCAGAATAACCCAGAAGCTTTGCTTTTGTGTCCTGACTGAGCTAGATATAGCTGAAGAGAAAAATATTGAGAGGAAAACTAACTAGAAGCCAGAGATTACATTCCCTGAAGCCCAGAAGGCTGTGGCAATAGTCACCAAAGACCAGATGCTTAACCCTTCTGAATTAAAGGAGCTTGTTGGCCCACATTTTGTCAGGGGGCTCAGGGCCAATGCTCTCTCATTGGTAAGCTATGGGAAGATACTCAGGGATCAGGCCAACTTGAAGGTGGGGACTTCAGTGGGAGGGGAGTTTGAGGGGCAGGGGATTAGTTTAGTTTTGTTCTTGGTAGGTAGTAGCACCCTGGTTGGTAAGCTGCAGTAGGGGAGGAGGGAGTGCTAGGTTGATGGCTATGGGTCACAGTTCACAGCTATTTGCAGTTTAAACCAGGAGTCTTTTAGTGGGTCTCCTTTATGGGAAATGTTTCTCTGACCGAGTCCAGCCACTTGATTTTAGAGGCCTGAAATGCTATCATTTCTTCCTATATATCACTCAAAATTCTTCCTTGGGGGAGTTTGTATTGATATTCCCTTGTTTGTTGGTAGGTTGGGTGGTATGAACAGTAAGACTTTATTAACTGACATGGGATCAAGGTATGCCCCTATTCCATAAGAGGACTATCACTCCCTGCCTGGGAACTGCATACTCAAGCAAACAATAAGCTTGATGGGAGGAAGTCTTTTTCAGGGTCTCAGCATTGTTCACTCAAAGGCTCTCCTATCCAGGCTGGCTGCTGTTTTGTGGGTCTGTGCTTGGGTAGTCACGGGCTTTCATTATGTACAGATTATCCATCTCCTTGAGGAGGTGCTGCCTGTCTGACTTTGCTGTGATCATATTTGCACTGTGGTCAAAATTCCTAGGAAAGGAGGCGAGCTTCTAACTTTGAAAGGATTGGGTTTTGGCCACCTTACTGTGCTCTTAGCTGGAGCCATGGTGCTGTGATGGAGGTTGTGGTCTTGAAACAAGGGCTGGGAAAAACCTTGCCACTCCAGCGGACTAGGAATATCTGTGGCACTACCTGGACATGCCACTACTACTACCAAATTCCAACTCCTGTATTCCATTATTTATTGATGTCTAAACCAGGACACCAATTGTAGCAAACAATTAGTGATCATTTGTGTATAGGATGCAATAAATGAATTGTGTTTGAAAACTGAAAGTACCTTAGCTGGGCATGGTGGTACACACTTGTAATCACAGCACTTGGGAAGCTGAGGCAGGAGGATTGTGAATTTGTGGCTAGACTGGGCTACATAGTAAGTTCCAGGACACCCTGAACTATACAACAGCTGTCTTTAAAAAAAGTCAAAATACCCAGAATTGTATTTCCTTGCTCCCAGAGATGTCTTAGTATGGTGGCAGGCCCAATTCTGACAATGTATTCCTAAAAATTTTCATTGTATTTGTATGAGTGTTTTGCTATCATGTATGTGCATGTAATTCCTGCGGATGCCAGAAGGGGGTGTTGGATCCCTTGGAACTGGAGGTACCAACAGTTGTTAGCCATCATGTAGGTGCTGAGAACCAAACCTGGGTCCTCTGGAAGAGCTATAAGTGCTCTTAACTGCTGAGCCATCTCTCTAGCTCTTCTGACAATGCATTTTATGCTAAGTCTCAATTTTCTGTTGAGTCTTACCATAAAGGTGAACTTTAAGGATTTTTAGAGCTAGGTATAGTGGCCAACCCCTGCAATCCTAGCACTCAGGAGGCCGAGGTAGGAGAATTGCTGAAAGTTCAAAGCTAACCTGGGCTACATAGTTGAGTACCAGACCAGCTAAGGTTACGTAGCAAGACCCCCTCTCAACAACAAAAACAAAGGAAAGTTTAAATCATGTACCTGTTACTTACATTGATAAATCACATGTTACTAGCATCTGGCTCAGGTCCAGCAGGACAAATGAGCAACTTCATGAGTCAGAAGTCTGGTAATACTATTTTGAAGGATAATCCTTCATTTAGACCTTAGGTCTTTGTTCTAGTTGATAGAAAGTAAATCTCTGGATTTCAGGTATGAACTTTAGGAGGACTGAAATGTTCTGGAATCCAAGTAAATCACCTAAATTCCATCTGTTGTCAGTAACTTGGAGAACATCTCATGGATCTTGTCATCAAATAAGCTTGTTCTTTGTAAGGGCCTGTGTGAGGGACTGCTGTGCAGATCCAAGCACACTCACCCAGTGCTGGAAGTGGTCATTTTCTTTTTCTGAAAACCACACTAGGCTGCATCCTCCTTTTCTGTCCTTGGCACCAGACGTTGTTTATACTTTGAGCCATCTTGGGTCATGGAAATAGTACACTTCTGCCTGACTTTCATTGCCCAAGGTCTCATAAGATTGCAGTCTTAGAAAGGGCTTGGTACTTGTAGATCTTCTATTTTCTTCCTGTGGAGATCAGTGAAGACTCTAGGAGAAAAAATACTACAACCTCAGTCTGGTTCAAAGGACGGAAGCAACTAATTCTGGTGATTAGGTTGGGCCACCAGGTGAGGCCAGTGCAGCAAGCTTGGCCTAATTGGATCTTCATTCGTGGGCAGGATGTCTACATTGGATTGTACAACTCTCCTAGGATGCCCTGAGTGTTATCTTGGATACAGAAGAACCTGTTTCAGCATACCCCGTTGGATATCTCGTCTTTAGCTTTTGGAATTGGTAAACAGTACAGATAAGAACTATGAGGCAGTCTTCTCTTCTAATACCTTTTAATGTACCAAACTGCCCTATTTGCAAAGAAGTAACCTTGGATATATGTTTGTTCAATCAAGACTTAGAGAAGCAGTCACAGTTGCCTTTGGTTCTGGGCTTGCATCTGTGAGAACAAGGGGGCACATTCCTACTGTCCTGGGTTGGGGATTTGTAAATTCCTGCCTGGTGACAAGGAGTCTTGTATAAAGGCTGACCTGCCTAAGCCATACAAACATGATTCATGTCTGAGCCAAGCTGGCATCCATCCCAGAGGACTGGAGCTAATCCTTTATGCAGAGTGTGCGTGTCTTGAGGATCCCCTGACCCTGGCTTTAGTGGTCTCTGGCAGATAGCTAATCCCAGGAGTTTGCTGCCCTCCAGCGGTTTCTGGGAGAAGGAAAGGCCTCACACTCAGGGTGCCCTGATACTTGCTTAGTGAGCCATATTATCATCATTGGACTGTGACAACATTCTTTCTCTCTGAGCTGGACATGGCTTCTCCCAGGAACCCATTCTGTGGGAGAGAAGCCAGACTTCCTACAGCACTTAAGCTTCATGGTGCAGTTCCCACAGGTTTTTGTCTTGGACTCTATCTCCTGGTGTGCTAATCCCATTTGCAATGGTAGAGTTAGTTCCCCTTTTGCAGTAAGTACAGTTCGTGAAATGGTCAGACCTTTTTTTTTTTTTTAAAGAATAGGATCTCTCTGTAACCCCAGCTGGCCTGGAACTCATTTTGTAGACCAGGCTGGCCTTGCTTGCCTCTACAGGGATTAAAGGCATGTACCACCATGCCAGGTGAAATTGTCAGACCTTTAATGTTAGCGAAACTTGATGAACACATAAGTACTGAGCACATTATGATGACAGATAGGTTTTTAGTTCTGCTTACATGCTGACAAGGAGACCAGGATGACTACTACTTGCAACATTGAATTGTACCTTTGTGGATACTCAGAACTAAAAAAATGGAGTCGTTTATTGGTTTGATGAATTGCAATAGTAGAGCTTGAATACACAAAATTTTATCACTTTTACATCTCCATGTAAAGATTTATAAAATAGACACCAAGTAAAACAATTTTAAATGTTAGGAGGAAGGCATCTGTGTTAATTCACTTTTCCATATGATTGAACTATCACAGGACAAGAGGGCATCTGCTGAATTGAAGGTTCTAAATGTTATTTCCCTAGACCTTTAGTGTCCACTACAGTAACTACTACCCACATGTAGCTAAATTAAAATGAAACAAAACCCCAACCAGGTATAGCAGCTCACACCTATCCCAGCACTCGGGAGGCTATAAGGTAGGGTCTGGGTTACAAAGACTATTTCAAGACACCCCAAATAAAAACTAGTTTTTCTGTTGTGCTAATCATTTTTTAAAAATATTATTTTCATTACTTTATGAGCATATTGCCTGCATGTGAGTGCACCCATGTCGTGCAGTGCCACGGAGGTCAGAAGAGGGCTTTGGATTCCCCTGGAACTGGAGTTAAGGACTGTTTGTAGCCGCCATGTAGGTGCTGGGACTCGAACCTGGGTCCTCTGCAAGAGCAGTCAGTGCTCTTAGTCACTGAGCCATCTCTCCATCCCCTTGTGCTCATCATGTTTGCTCAGCAGCCACATGTGGCTAATGGCTACAACTGTACAGTACATATATAAACATCATTGTGGAAAGTTCTAGTGGACATGCTACACCAGAACAACCCATTACTAGGGTTAAGGCAGCTGGGATTTAGGAGTAGGGACAGAGTTTCCAAGTTCTGTTAACAAAACTGATTCTGTTGGTAAGTACAGTGGGTCTTCCGTGTGTGGGTCTTGCATCCATTGAATTAACTGGATCAAAAATATTTGGGGGCTATTAAACATGTATGAAATTAGTTTTCTTGTCATTCTTCAAATAGCATAGTGCAACAACAATTTACATAGTGTTTACATTGTATTAGATTTTAACCTGAAGATCTGTATGGATTATGTGCAAATACTGTCATTTTATGTAAGGGATTTAAGCATCTGTGGATTTGGGTATCCACAGGCGGTCCTGGACCCAACCACCCATGTTATATGGAGGGACAACTATAATTTGTTTTTAATGAGTACTATAAATAGTAAACATTTCTCAACAGCAAGTGATGTTCAGGATGTTCTTTCTCAAACTTTGCTCTCACTAACCTCTCCTTTTTCTGTGGGGAAAATACCTAAGGTAACCAGATTTGAAAATCTCGTTTCCATGTTAAAAATTCATTTTTATTAGCCGGTTGTGGTGGTGCACGCCTTTAATCCCAGCACTTGGGAGGCAGAGGCAAGTGGATCTCTGTGAGTTCAAGGCCACCCTGGTCTACATAGTGAGTCTCAGGACAGCTGGGGCTACAGGGAGAACCTGTCTCAAAAAAAAAAAAAATTGTTTTTATTAAAGAATATCACATACATATTGTTTCTTGGCACCACTGCCAAAGGATGAGAGCATTTACAACCATTATCAGTGTCTGAAGTAGGGAACCTCCCATCTGACCTCTGTGGGCATTGTATGACATGGGTGCACTTACATACATGCAGGCAAGACACTATATGCATAAATTTTTTTCCACGTTAAAAATGCATTTTTATTAAAGAATACCACATGCATACTGTTTCTTGGCACCACTGCCAAAGGATGAGAGCATTTACAACCATTATCAGTGTCTGCAATAGGGAACCTCCCACAGCTCTGGCAGATTCTACTTCCTGTCCTGATAGCTGCTGCTATCCAGGCTATGGAAATGCAAGGAAGCCACTGCTGTCCTTATAGATGCCCTCCATCAAAGGGAACAGGCTTTACTGGATCCAGACAGCCTGGTGATCAGGGAAAGTCAAATACTGCTGATGAAGGCAGAGCCTCTCCTCCCCTCAAGCTCAGCAGAGGTAGGATGCCACAGAAAACATCTGTCCGGAAGTAGAAGGAACTTTCATTTGTCCAGGCTGCCCTTGGACTTTCAGTGTTCCTCTTGTCCCCAGCCTCTCCAGTGCTAGAATTGCAGGCATTAGTCAGCATGCTTGACTTCATTTACCACTTTTGGTTGAGGCCAAGGAACCCTACTAAGTGGCAAAGACACCTTTAGCTTAAGTCTTCATTGTGCTGGGGTGGTAGCTTTTCTTTCCATATGTTCAATTAGGAATCATCAGGCCCCATGACACTTGTCAGCCTTTAAGGGCCTGTGAAAGAAGCTCATGAATATCATCAGACCATCAGTCTGAATCCAGATCATGGGGGCTGTCATAGCCAAATTCCTTCTGTACATCCAAAGGGTACTTGTTCCACACCAGTTGCCTGCTGCCTCTTTCCTCCTCGCTGAGACTGTCATCAGAGCCTAGAAGGAGATAAAGAGCTGGTTTTTATTCTGCATTATAAAATACTTGTTCAATAAACAATTTTTTTTTTTTTTAACATGTTTGTTGGGAGGGAGGCCAGTGAGTGTCACAGTGTGACACTTGCAGGAGTTGGTTCTTTCCTGCCACTATGAGGGTTCTGGGGATCAAACTTGGGTCACCAGGCTTGGCAGCAGTCACTTTAACCCACTGAGCCAGCTAATATGTTAATGTGTTCTTGATGGAAGTAGGAAACAATCCCAAATACTGGTAGTATTGTCCCCTTTTCTGGAGAGAAAACTGAGGCTCAAGAAGTGAAATAATTTTAACTTGAGACCCATACAAAGTGATAACTAAGAATTAGATCCTAAGCCTGACTGACATTACACCCCAGCAGTTTTCCTGAATTTTTTGGGGGGGTTCTTTTTGAGACAGGGCTGTCCTATAGCCCCAGCTGGCCTGGAACTTGCTATGGAGACCAGGCTGACCTCTAACAAGAGATCTACCTGCTGCTGCCTCCTGAGTGCTAGGATTAATGGCCTATGCCACCACGCCCAGCAAGCAGTTCTCCTGGAAAGAGAAAGCCATTTGTAGCATACTCATCAGTTATACCTTTACTTTGATCTTGGACCCTATCAACCTCTCCCCACCTAGGCTGCTACCCACCTCTGGAATCTTCATCTCCATCACTGCTTTCTTCATCTGGGTACTCATTGCGCCAATTATTTTCACTGTTCTCATCATCTTCATCCTCATAAGTATCTTCTGGTTGCTGATCGTCATTCACCTGAACATCTCAATATAAACATGAAGGTTATGCTCTTTGGGGCAAGTTTTTAGCATACCAGCGTAGAGATATTCAAGTAAAGGTACCGCATAAAAAAGGAAGACTACAAATTAGTTTGACTGTACTTAGGAGACTGGGTAATCTCAGGCTATGAGGGGGTTACAGTAACTGAATTCCCTCAGATACCATAGTCCAATTTTATTAGAGGGAAATGAAGGGTAAAGAGGAGTTAGTAGCCACCATCTTCAAATTCTTGAAGGATATCCAGGCAAGAGAGGTAATGACTAGGTAATATCAAAGGTTAGGACCAAAACCTTCTGAGTAAGAAATATAGAAAAGCAGGAGTAGAGACCACACAATGGTAGAAGGTGGGTGGGCATGTGAAAAAATGCAGGTAGAGGATAAGGTGCTTCTCTAAAAAAGAATAATAGTATTGGGGGTTTGAAGAGATGGCTCAGAGGCTGATAATAGCACTTGCTGCTCAATCCTAAGGACTGGAGTTTGGATCCTAGCACCCATACTAGGTGACTCACAAATGTCTGTAACTCTAATTCCAAGGGATTTTGATGCCTTCTGTCTTCAGAGGGCAAGCATATGCATAAATGAAAAAAAAACAAAAAGCCAGGTGTGGTGGTGCATCCCTTTAGTTTCAGTAGTCAGGACACAGAGGCAGGCAGATTTCTCTGAGTTCAAGGCCAGCCTGGTCTACATAGCGAGTGTCAGGCCAGCTGGGGTCACAGGAAGACCCTGTCTGAAAAAAAGACCAAAAAAAAAAAAAAAAAAAAACAAACCCCTGAATATTGTTAAAAAGATAATGGTGAGGCTGGGTATGGTGGAATGTGCCTTTAATTCCAGCATACACAAAAATCAAAACAGAGCCGGGTGTGGTGGCGCACCCCTTTAGTCTCAGCGCTCAGGAGGCAGAGGCAGGTGGATCTCTGAGTTAGGCTAGCCTCCATTAAGCTTTCAGTTGCCAATCTGGAGTCAACCAAAGCAGAAGCCCCCAAAAGGCAAAAAAAAAAAAAAAAAAAACCAAAACAAAACAAAAAAGTTGTTCTCATTCATGTTATTGTCTAGTTTTATTCTGTCTGTATTTTGTTATAAATCCTTACATAGCCCTCTCCCAAGAACAGGTGGCAGTAAAGACAGTATTATAAACCATTTCTGCCTCCAGAGTCTGGGACTAAAGGTGTGTGCCACTATGCCCAGCTTTAGAGTTCTAAAAGGCATGTAAAATACATTTTTCCTTTTAAGAAAGAATGAGAAATTCAGGTATAATGGCACATGCTTTTAGTTCCAGCACTCAGGAGGCAGAGGCAGGTGGATCTCTGTGAGTTCGAGGTCAGCCTAGTATACATAGTGAGTTCCAAGGCCAGCTGAGGCTGCAGGGAGACCCTGTTTCAAAAAGAGTGAAAACAAACAAACAAAAAAAACCAACAACAACAAAAAAAAACAAAGAAAAAAGAAAAAGAAGGAAAAATGGCAATCACGAGTACAGTCCACAGCCAGGTGTACATGCTTAATCCCAGTACTGGGGTGGCTGGAGGCAGGAGTGCCACAAGTTCAAGGCTAGCCTGGGCTACATGAGACCGTCTTCAAAAAAACCAAACCAAAAATGACAGGACAGCTCAGTGGATAAAGGTGCTTGGCACCAAGTTTGAGCCCCAGAATCTACATGGTGGAAGGAAAGAAAGGACTCTCATAAATTGTCCTATGACAATTGTATATGTCCTATGACATATACTGTGGCACACACACTAAATAAAATGTGATTTAAAAAGTTAAAAACAAAATGAAAACACTTAAATGCCCCTCTCCTTATGGACCCCCTTACCAGCTCCCACTCCTGATTGTAGGGCTGCACAGATAGGATGTTCTCAATCCACCCAGGAGTGGCCATCTCTATGTAGTATATATCATACACATAATCATGCTTTGGTTCCTGCTGGTGCCCCACTTCTGGTCCATTCTCAGATACAGTCAGTCTTTCACGGATCAACTCTACAGAATTGCAGAGGATTACATCTGGATCAGATGTCTGCAAAGAAAACAGATGAAATAGATATGACTCAACTGATGTTCCAAGGATTAGATGAAAGAAGTTCTGCTATAGTTCTCTATGCTGTATTCAAGATTATTATTATTATTAGTCTTTTTGAGACAGGCTCTTGTAGCCCCAGCTGGCCTGGAACTTGCTGTGTAGACCAGACTAGCTCTGAACTCAGAGAGCCACCTGCCTCTGTCTCCCGTGCTGTAATTAAAGGCATGTGCCCAGCAAGATTATTATTTTTAAAAAAATTTTTTTGGTGTTTTGCCTGCATAAATGTTAAGTGCACCTGTTACCGCTGATCCAGAAGAGGGCAGTGAATCCCCTGGAATTAGTTAGCTGCTATGTTGGTATTGGGAACCAAACCTGGGTCCTCTGCAAGAGCAGCCAGTGCTCTTAACCGCTTGGCCATCTCTCTAGCTCCTATTATTTTTGAGACAGGGTCTCACTGTGTTGTCCTGACTGGCCTAGAAGTTGCTATAGGCCAAACTAGCCTCAAATGCAGTGATCTGCCTGCTTCTGCCTCCTGAGTGCTGGGGTTACAGGCAGTGTATTCATGATTCTTATCCCCATGCACTTCTAGTCTCTAACTGCTCCTGCAGATCTTCTTGAGTACTCTTTGGCATAATATTCTTCCCTTGGGGGATCCAGAATTCCACAGGAAAATGCCTGGTGAAACCTACTACAATCCATCATTTGTCTAGCCCTAACTGACAAGACAATCCTGCATTTAATAACAAACTAGACTCAGTTATAATCTTTCTGATAATTTGAAAAAACAAAGTTCCCAGAAAAGAACTGGTCCAAATAAGATGTACTCCATTGTCAAGGGCCTCTGGTAGCACAGGTTGGTATGGAAGCTAAAAGGATATGCTGTAGATAGCCCTCTCAACAGGTATATCATAGGACATCAAGTTTATTACATTTATTAAGCCAGATATAACAAATGTAGAAATGTCCATGGCCAAGTTACATGGGAGTCTGATACTGTCATAAAAAGATCCAGATCAAGAGAAATTCTCCCTGCCTTCAACATCACAAAGGAACTATAGATACAAGTTTTTGTGTATGCTTTTGCTCACACTCAAAGCTGTTTTTGAAGATCTGGCTCCTACTCATAGGCCTGACCCTGAGTCTAGCATATTATGTAGCCATTAAATTCGTAAGACCAATAGAAAAATTTCTAATAGAATTTTATATTCAGAAGTAAACAAACCAGCTTTAGTTACTTTTGTGTTGGGAGTAAACTGGGCACTTTCTAGGGTCTTGTGTATGCTAGGCAAACTGCTTTATCCCTGATCTATACCCCCTTATTCTTTAAGTTGCTGTATTTTTCTAAACTTTCTATTGCTCTCATAACAGAATGTTGGCCTGGAACTATGGAGCCCAACTGGCCTCGAACTCATGGCAACCATCCTGCCTCAGTTTTCTAAATGCTGGGTTTATAGGCATAAGCCCCCATACCTGGCAGAAAAATTATTTCGGAAAATATATTTATGTGTGTATGTGTCTTACTAAGCTTTAACTGTCAACCTGACACAGCCTAATCACACGAGAAGGTTGTCTCAATTGAGGGACTGTCCAGGTCAGACTGGCCCTTGGGCATGTCTGTGGGGGACTGTCTTGTTAATATAGGAGAGCCCAGTCCACTGTGGGCAGTATCATTCCTTGGGCAGATGCTCCTGGGCTGTATAAGAAAGTTAGCTAAGCATAACCCTGAGTGAGCAAGCCAGTAAGAAATCCATGGTTTCTGCTTCACGTTCTTGCCCTGACTTCCTTCAACGATAGACTGTAACCTATAAACTGTTTCCTACCCCGAGTTGCTTCTGTTTTGTTTTTTGGACAGGGTCTCACTATGTATCCCTGATTGGTCTGGAAATCACTGCGTAGACCAGGCAGGCCTGGAAGTCACAGAGATTGGCCTGCCTCTACTTTTCTAGTAACAGGACTAGAGGTTCGTACCACCACACCTAGCCCCCTACTTTCCTCTTGGTTAAAGTGTTTTATCTCAACAACAGAAAGTGAACTGAAACAGTGTGTGCGCGTGTGTGCACTCACACATGGAGGTCAGAGGACAACTTCTGGGAATGGGATCTCTTCTACAATGTGGGTCCCAGGACTCAAACAGGTTGTTGGGCTTAACTTCAAGCACCTTTACATGCTGGGGGCCATCTTGTTGGCCTCTGCAGAAAAATTTAATATTCGTGTATGTGCTTACTCATATTTTGTTATATAGAATATTTTCTACTATTAAACACAGACTAGTATTTCCCATATTGCTAATATTCAAGGTTATCAATCTTAATATTCCAGGTAGTTGTGCATGTCTATTTCTCAAATATAAGTAGTACTGCAATGACTATGTCAACTTCTGCATTTCAAAAATGAGGATAAAAATATCTAAGCCATTGTGTTCGTGAGGATTAAATGAGTTAAAAGATGTAGCCCGATGGTAGAAAACTTACCTACTTAGTATAGTACCTGACATAATCACTTAGTAAATCAACATTATCTTTTATTAATATACTATAGCACCTTACTTCTGCTGAATTAGTTCCCTAGGTTAAATCTTAGGGGTAGGATTATTAGATAAAAAGCAAAGAACTTTTTTAATCTTTTTAGAGTTCCTATTTATTTACTTGCTGGCCATGAAGTGAGCAGTTTTGCTCTGCTACATAATTCTGCTGCCATGATGTTCTGCTTCAGGACAGGCCCGTAGCAATGGAGCAGGCTGACCATGGACCGAAAACCTCTGAAAAAGTGAGCCAAAATAAATTCTTCCTTCCTTATTTACCTCATTTGTCATAGCAACAAAAACCTAACACAACCTCTAAATAAAAATCAGTTTTCAAAATTCTCAATATGCAAAGCTATACATAAGACCAAAAGACCTACATGGAATTTAATCACAGCTGCTAGCACTGCTACTTTAGCAAGCATAAAAATTTGTGATATAGAGTATGTACTGCTTTATTGGGAAAAATCTGTTTACTATTTATCTAGTCTTTCTTATAAAATCTAATGACCTGTTAACTGATTTGATTCCTCTGAACAATGGTTTACTTAAAAACATGTAACGTGGACTGGGGATACAGGACAGTGGTGGAGGGCTTGCCTGTGGGACTGCAAAGCCAAACTCATTCACAAATCAGTCTAGAATTAATTTGGGTGAAAGATGTGGCTATGGATATCAGGCCCAGTTGTGCTAGCACTGTAATTAAATAATGTTTGCTTAATGATTCATTTTGAATTAAAATTTAAATAAGTTTTTTTTTGTGTGTGGTATGTGTATATGCTCATGTATGTTCACCTGTGTGTGCAGGCGTGTATGAAGGCCACAGATTGACTTTAGGTTGATGTCTCTGTCCGTCGTTCTCCACTTCCCAGCCCTGTTGCCCACGCTGGTCTCAAACTCAGTATATAGGTAAGGATAACCTTGAACTTATTGATTCTCTTGTCACTACCACGCAAGTGCTGGGAATACAGGCATATGCCACCATGCCCAATCAAAATTTAATGCCCCCTACACACTTTTTTTTGTCTCCTTATAGCCCCAGCTGGCCTGGAACTATGTAGACCAGGCTGGCCTTGAACTCCAAGAGATCCTCCTGCCCCTGCCTCTGGAGTGCTGGGATTAAAGGGAAGCCCACCTAAAATTTAATTTTCTTTTTAACTTTAAAAGCAATTAAGGAGAAGGCCGAGCATGGTGGTGCACACCTTTAATCCCAGCATTAGGGAGGCAGAGGCAGGCTGATCTCTTCAAGTTCAAGGCTAGCCTGGTCTACATAGTGAGTTCCAGGCCAGCTGGGGCTACAGGGTCTCAAAAGACCAAAAAACCCCACAAACAAAAAAAGTCAACTAAGGGGCTGGAGAGATGGCTGTTAAGAACACTGTCTGCTCTTGCAAAGGACCTGGGTTTGGTTCCCAGCATCCACATGGATCCAGTGTCCTCTTCTAGCTCTGTGGGCACCACATGCCTGGAGTGCATTTACATGCAGGCAAAACACTCATAAAGTAAAAATAAGTAGAATAAAAAAAATAGAATTATTTTTTGAAAAATTAGGCTGAGTGTGGTTGCACACACCTTTAATCCCAGCATGGAGGAAGCAGAGGCAGATGGATCTCTGAGGCTGCCCTTATCCACAGGGTATAGTGAAAGCACCTCAACCCCAATTCCTTCCTTTCTCATCTCACTGGACTCCAACCACAACGATCTTGTAAAGACAAGACAAATTCACCTTGAAGGCCTTTGGCCTTGTAGTCCCTAGGCTTGGGAGGTGTATTCTCAATGTCCAGCCTTCAAGTCTTCACCAATAAATAAAATTTTAGACAGTCTCAACTCTATAGCTCAGCCTGGCCTTGAACTCCAAGCAATCCTGACTCAGTCTCCTGAGTGCTGGTATTTGAAGCCTGAGTTATTATGCCTGGTTTTCAAATGTCTTTTTTTTTCCAGTAAGACGTTCACAGAAACCACACCACATTTTCAACTTTGTTTTCCCCACTCACACAATTCTTATCATTTAATATTGGATTCTACTTTATGTTTGTTTCTCCTATCTGAATGTTAGGTCTTCACTGCTATATCCATATAACTTAAAAACAATACCCAATACTGCATAGGTCTCAGCACACATGTCATGTGAAAACCAATCGAAAGGTGTTGGCATACATCTGTAATCCCAGCACTGCGGTGGCTGAAGCAGGAGGACCGCAGTGTCTGTTCGAGGCCTGCCTGGGTACATAACCAGTAGTACCATGTCAACCAGGGCTAGCAAAATTCTGTCTCAACAACATAAAGCCGAACAAACAAAAATCCAATCCGTAAAACGAGGCCACTGCAGGGCGGATCATCTATCCTTACCCGTGCTGCCTTTAGGCGCAGACTCCGGGTCCGCCTAGAGCCCAACGGTGTGCTTACTCACTTTGCAGTAGTCTGTGACAGCGGCCTCTGGGTCTCCCTCCTCGTGGATCAGGTCCAACAGCTGGAAGCCTGTGTCCCCGACAACTTCTGCGTTCCCCGGCTCGCCCTCAGACTCCAAGCTGCCAGGGGTCCCCGAGGATCGGTGGCTGGAGACTATCCTGTAGCGACCCTCTTTCCGGACCTCGCGAACCGAGGCACGGAGGTCGCGGCGGATACGCTGCTGGCTGTTGCTGGACGGACGCAGGGCAGCCCGCACCAGCGGCTGAATTGGGTCCTCCTGGGGGGCGGCAGAAGGGTGACGCAGTCAGCGAAGTTTCTAGGAGGGCGGCCTCAGACCGTCCAGACTCCAACCTCGCCCCATACCTGGGAGTGCACTGTAGCAACCAACTGGAAGACTTTGTTCTCCGCCGCTTTCTCCAGCCCCCCTGGCTTCTCCTGGGCCGACGAGTCGACATCGCAGCTGCGGAGGCGTTTACAGGCCAGCACAAGCGCCTCGGCCGGCTCCGCGCTGCGCTTCCGTTTCACGCGCAGCACCGCAGGCCTGCAGGCCTCCATAGGGACTGTCGCGGAGCACTGAGAGAAGGCTCGGAGTGCGACGGGATCTCCTCCCAGTTCCGCCCAGAGCCGCGCCGGCGTGGCACAGTACGCCTGCGCGCTGAGCTCCCCCCCCACCCCCCGCCCCCCAACGCTGGCTGCGGCAAGATGGCTGCGGCCCTGGCGCCGAGTGGAGCTGTTCCGTAGCGGGTGAGGTGCTGGGCATGCTGGGGAGGTGCGATCGTGCCTGGGTGCTGGGTGCTGGCCTCATCCCTAGGGCTCGAACGGAGGGGCCTGGTGTGGGCACATTCGGGTCCTGGGGTACTCGTCTCTTGTGGACCTTTCCAGAGTTCGCTTGGAGCGGCACGGAGCGCCCTGGCCGACGCAGGAGTCGAGGTTTGCCTGGCCTCAGCTGTCCACATGGGTGCTTGTCCTCGCTCGGGCGTGCCCGACTCTACCTCAGGGCCTCGGTCGCAGCACCCTCGCCTGGCGCTCGCTGCGGCCGCACAAACCTGGGTCTCAGTAGCACGCAGCCTTCGGATGCCGAACTGATTAAGGAAACTGATGACTCTCCGGTCTTAGTCTGTTACGAATAGTTTAGAAACCAGTCTGTTTACAACATTTGCTTGGAGCAGTGCTGTTAAAGTGTGCACCCGGCATAGCTGTGCTTCCGATTAAACTCTGGAGTGGCCCCCAGTGCATTTCTAAGAGTGTTATCCTAGCGACAAGGCAAGAAGGAAATGCAGTTGATCCAAATTGTGTGTGTGTGTGTGTGTGTGTGTGTGGA